TAATCTTAGAACACCAGAAACGGATTTCGACGCTGCAACTAAAAAATATGTCGACGATAAAGAAATTCCAATAACAACTTCGTTAACGACAATTAATGATGGAGTTGCCGTATTTAGAACTGAGTTTTCTAATCACGTACAAACATTTCTAAATTTTCGTAGAAACGTAAACAGAACTAACAATGATTTTTTTGGAACTCTACCAACTGTTATCATTAATCTCACTGACATTAATACAAGACTTAACGATATCACAAGTGGCATTCCAAATATTATTAAAAAAACTGATCTCATTAAAATTCCTCACAAACAAATTAAAAATATTGTGTACACTGTAGCATCAGGAAAAGCAACCTGGTCGCAGCAAAATAGCACTCTTAAACATATCGCTGAGGTCACTGGTGTATATAGATTGTCTTTATTTAGTCGTGCAAAGTTTAATATATTTACAACATTTCCATGGCGTCATTCAACTGATGATTTTTCTGGAACTGTGGCTATTGTGTTAAACAAAGATATTGAGGAAACGTTGATGCTGATAGCGGATAATAAAAAGTTAATCGCAGCTACTTATTGGTGGTGTATTGAATTTGTAGCTGAAACTCCAGAATTAGTTACTTAAAAATATATAAACAAATATTATATAATGAAAAAAATATAGTCGATTTTAATCATATTTCAGAAAATATTCCAAAACAAGATGTTGACGCTCTAATGCAATATTACAGATACTATCATAAAAATCTTTGGTGCGTCAAAAAATGTTACAAATACTATACCAAAATACTGCGAGTAATATCTTATCTACCGCTGCTAATGACCGGCTCTGGTATAATTTCAAGTGGCGCATCACTAAATCCGTTTTTGTTAATAATATCTGGTGTCGGCGTTTCTCTTGCAGCAGTGTGTAAAAAAAGTTCAACCTCGACTAACGACTAAAAGAAATGCTTGCAAAACAGCAAGTATAACTTATAAAAAATTACTCGATCAAATTCGATCTTACTTGCGTGGCATGAAATATGACATGGACGATTTAATACGCGAATTTCGCATTATTGATGGTATGTTAACAGATATTCTGCCAATGAGAGTTAGCAAATACGAAAAAGATTATGATAAAAAGTATATGTTTAATTAATTTTGTGTGGCTTTAGTAATATCATTATCGAATAATATATCAACCATATTGTCAATAAATGATACCACATCATCTGCCCATCCCGGTATTCTCACATCGCTTTCGACTGCGAATAACCACACTGATCCATATTTCGGCCATACATAATATCCCACCTTTTTAATGCAATCGCTTATTATTTTAGGTTTAAAACCAGTATACCCTGACACTGCTTTGATCGAATTAAATCTTTTACAAAATCTATTTGTTAGATCGAAACCAACATGTCTGATTGCGTATGACATTATATATAATATGGTATTTGTTTAATATAGCATTTTTAACAAATACGTACTTAGTAGTAGTGAATATTGATGTATCCTGTATCAGAGACCCTCCAGCCACAAAACATACTTTTTGTCAGAAAATGTGTTATCATGTAAAAGTCATCGTTTTGAGCTAACAAAGGCTGCTGACAAAAATGTTAACTTACAACATTTTTGGGGGCTGGGGGTCTCTGATAAAGGATCACCAAATATTCATTACTGACACTTTAAGATTGTTTAAATGCCGATAAAACACTGACAAGGAGCATTGTCAACATTAGCAACTATTCACAATCCCATTGATATCGTTAATTAAAACAAAAGATATCATTCGAAGAAATCAAAACAAAAATCAAACCTGATTTAAGATTTTGCATTTGCTATTGCATTTCCTGAATATTGAAGGGCCTTTCCCATTTGTATGTCCTCATATCCCATTTGTATGTCCTCATATTCTATTTGTATGTCCTCATATTCAAACGCTTTAATGAACATACTGATCAAGACTAGAAGACTTAAAGAGACAGAAAAGTACAGTTACCGTGGAGCCAGTATGCATCTTTAAAATTTTACTGGAATTTGCTATGATTTTTATTAGTTGTTTCAATTTTTTAATTTTATACCACAGTTTTTTGCCGACTTCAAAATGTGTTGAAGTAAATAGAATTTATCAAGAGTAGTTGTAGGTATTAACAAGAAATTAATATTTTTGTTAGAAAATAAATACTTTGGTAACATGAAATTGTTGTCTACAAGTTTTAAAATTTCAAATTTTTTCTGAGCTATTTGATATTTCTCATATTTACATTTACTCAACACACTAGATTAGTCAGTTAAGTAGTGGAATTATTTACACATATATGTGAGTGAAAACTGGTAAGAGGTTATTCTATGTGCATGGAGAATAACGTAAATAAGCTCGCATATTTGACTCACAGTACATATCACAATTAACTTGCCGTCATCTTAAATAGACTAAACTCAAATATTACATTTCATTATAGACGTGTGAGACCTCTCGGTCTTGTACGTCTGCTTACTGGAGCCACAACATATTCTTTATTTATTCGTCAAAATGGTGTTAGGTACCCGCTCAAAACCTTAACGTCTACTCTATACACTTCCTAAATGATAATGTACCAAGGAAGCAAAAGAGTAGAAGAAGCAAAAGGGTCACGCCTCGATATCGTTTGTAGGTTCTTATTGATTTTTTGGTTGAATATTTTGATTTTTTTTTCCAAATTTAAAAAGTATCGTCTTACATCGGGTTATTGAATTTTGAAGCAAACGATAAATTCTGTACCTTTTTTATGACTGGTTAGTAGAATAGTAAGCTGTTTCGATTTAAATCAGATCATTCCTGAGGATCAAAAAATGTTTCTATATTTGTAAGTAATTTTACATTTATGTTGGGTTTGTTAAGTTCGTTCAGTGTGTGTTCATCTTCGCTAACCAAGGTGCCGATGTGTCAACTCTATCTACACTTTGACTGTTCATTCAGATATTACGGTGCTACGGATCTGTGGATTTTATTTGATGAGGGGGCAAGCCACCGCATCCAATTAAAATCAAGTTAATAAAATATGACGACTGTTCCAGCAAGATCGAGAAAAGGGGAGTATACAGCTGGAATGGACTCAGAAAAAAGTAATTTTTACACTGCTGCTCATGTTTGAAATAATACACCCTTTCCCTCAAATACACCTGTAATGGCGTCTCTGTGGTAATTAGTCACATTTTCGATGTTAAACTTACAAGTATCCTTTTGAATTCAATAGCCTCCACCATTTTCTGTTTGCGTGAAATGCGCCGCTATTACAAGTTACTGGTTAATTGGTATTACATACAAAGGGAGACAACTCAAGAAATTCCATCAATATCGCTAGGAGAACGCACTGAAATATCTCAACGATCCGCCAAGGTGTGGAACGGATTATCACATTGCAACCTTGGTTAACGAAAATGGTCTGTGCCACTTTACGTGTCTGGGCCTGGTAGTTTTTGGTTACTGTCCATGTTATCCAAAGAATTCGTATGGTCTAGGTGCTTAAGTGTGTATTTTGGAAATCGTGATAGGGAGGAAACACACAATGCGATGAAACCCGATTGTCAACTGTTTTGGGCCACCTTGTATTCATTTTTAACTCAAGTTTGAGGATTAGTTTGCCTGCCCATGCCGCGAAATATTACCACAGTAGAAATGATCTACCAATCCCCTTCCTGTGGAGATCCCCCTCAAGCAGTCTAGACATGTGGGATTTTGCCATTTCAAGTAATTTTAAAATTACTTTCATTCTTGCTGATGTTTTGGCTTTCTTCTGTGATTTTTACGTTGAGTTTTAGCTAAGAATTATACCTTTTATCTTTTCCCTACGGCAGAAAAGTCTCCCTGGATATTGATTTTATATGCCTCTGGTTGTAAGAATTCTGGATATGTTAGCAGGGCTTTGAATGTCATATTTTTTTCCTGGAATATTTGTGACAGTCTTCGATAACGTAGTGGAGAGTTTCTGGGATGATACAAGGTATGCAGTTATTATATTATATGCAGGTTCATCACAGACGCTAAGTTTAGAACAGTCGATGTGGCAAACAGACAGTAAGAGGAATGATAATGTAGGACTCAAATATATGATTTGATAACACAATTTTTTCTAAATTATCGTTGATGGTTGCAAAATAGTTTATTTAAAGATTTGCTCATCTCAGCACTTTTATTTGTACAATTCATGCTTATCGTCCCAATGAGAGAAAATTATAAAATAACCTTCGTCGTACGAACAAACTATCCGATTATCGTACAGTGAAACTGACATTTGGGGTATCCACCATTGACCCTTCCCATTCCCGTTTTATTCAGACAAGACACACAATGTTTTTCAAGAAAACACAAGCATACAATTTCAATTTAAGCATTGCTTACTAAGAAGCCATATTCTCCCATCAAGTGTACTTATTATAAATTTTCACTGCGATTCCTATCATTAAATTTGCACACATATCCTAAGTACTTAATATCCGATCTTTATATTTTAAGCGATAGTACATAATATATGATAGGTCTGAAGTTCTATTCAAATTTAATCTATGACTGATCTTTTTGATTAGACTCTCGCCCACGGAAAACTGACAAAATATATACTTATTCACTCACTGATTCAAATTACTGCTCATTCCTGCTGTTATATTTTAGATACTTCTGAAGACCACTGAACACATGAATGTTATCGAAAGAAAATTACTACCGCTTAAAACCGAAACAATAACAACCCCAGAGGGGATGCTTCATTTCATAGATTTTTTAAATGTGTTCAGAATTCAAATATGACTTACAAAAAAAATCACTGCCTATCCAAACATAATTTACTGGCTTAAATTGCGTTGACACAATACAACTATTGTGCAAATCAGGACACAAAATAAACTGAATTTTTGGAATAATATAAATGAATCTGCAAAGATATACGGTGATAAAATTCAACAATTGTTTCAATGTTGATAAAGATTTGCTTTGAGTCCAACACAAAAGCAACAATACAGATACCAGGAGATAAACCGCTTCGGTGACCTAGTGGTTAGAGCGTCCGCCTCGAATGAGGTAGGTCCCGGGTTCAAACCCCGGCCGAGTCATACCAAAGACTTTAAAAATGGTACTAACAGCTGCCTTGCTTGGCGCTCAGTATTAGGAGGTTAGTGTTTGGACTGGTCGGCCTGTTGTCAGGATAATGTGACTGGGTGCGACATGCCCCAATACTAGATATCACTATAAACTGTCACACTGCAGACTTCATAACGATATGACTGAAAAAGATGTTAAAGCTACGTTAAAATTCTAAATTACAAATCACAATAGGAGATCATGTTTACTTGTTTATAAATTTGGACGTTACTAAAGTGTGGTCAAAACCAGTTGCGACAAAGCAGCATACAACCGAGAATGTTGATGGTCACTGTTAAGCATTTTCACAGATATACTACATTTTTTATGTGAAAATACTGAATTACATATTGCATTCTGTAAGGAAAACATAAGGATAAACAGTATGAATGTTGTTATGAACTAGAACCTATATAAATGAGAAAACATTAGAAATAATTAACAAATTGAAACCATCAGAAGAATTTAAAGAATTATTAATTAAATCCAAAATAATTCTTAAAGTTCTACTCAAGTCGAAAAGTGTCAACATTTCTGAATGAATTTCAGATCCTCTAATGTGCTGAACTGCCAACAGTCTTAATGCATCTGAATAGCATTGTCCGGAGGTCCATTGAATAAATTCACAATAGTCCTCGATTACTATTTTAATCCAATGAACTAATTTTATTTCCAGCGAATAATCTAATCAAATATCTCTTCAAATTATATCTAAACACAATATTGAATACATATGCATACTGATAATAATACAAGAACGTTACGAAATAAGAACAAGAAATAAAAATAATTAATTGCTTAATTCTCTCATTACATACACACATACGGGCCTAAGAGGCAATTTTCTCCTACTCACTAAATGACACTTCGTAATACCAAAAATCGTTAAAGAACCCACCTAACCGACAATCTAATGGGAAATAGGGAAATATCTTCCAAGAACTTCAAATTATTTTGTACAGGAAGACGGCAGTATTAATAGTACCTTCATTACAATCTCAATCGTACAAACATGTATACAAACAAAAATCAATTTTGTGAACAAATTAAGCTTAATAACAAGATAAAAAGTAGTTAAATTTGTAGTATGATAAAGTAAACAATTTACGTGCACACTAAACAAGCAAGTAAGAAACAAAAATGACATTGGAATGGATCTCTGCTATTCACATGATTAGCATTTATACCAGATGCGAAAAAGCAAAGATCATGACTATAATAGTCCTATTATTATTGTCTTTTGATATGAGCACTGTTACAGGGCGACAACATCAATTCCTGTAAATGATTCTGATTTCACTGACACTCTGCAACTTAAAAACGTCAAAATGTAGCACGTTATCAAAATAAACAACCAATCTTCATTCATTATTTGCTGTGGTTGACTTTTATAAATTGGTTACGAACCTTTACATATTCAAATAGCTTTGTTTATACTTCTTACAAAAATGCAAGTAACAAGCCAACTAATGAAAACAACATTAAGGAACGAATATAACCAATCTATCACGTTGCCAATAATTGTAGGCAATGCTGTTAGAATGCAAATTACCAAGATGTACAGTGGTAAAAACTTCTCGTCATATTCTCCAATTGTGTAAATACCCATTACAGTGCTATCGTTTTCATCTCTCTCTCTCTCTCTCTCTCTCTCTCTCTCTCTCTCTCTCTCTCTCTCTCTCTCTCTCTCTCTCTCTCTCTCTCTCTCTCTCTCTCTCTCTCTCTCTCTCTCTCTCTCTCAACCAAGCAAGTAGTACCTTACTTGCAAGTTTTGAATATACTTTAATTGTTGTTTGTTGCCTATCGCCTGTGAGTGATCTTATAGAAGTACAATTCTGTGATAAAATATTTCAGAAACTATAAATCTCGTGCTTTGGTTGTGGTTTTTCTTCATCAAGGACAAAATGCAATATTAGCTGTGTTTGAAATAATCGCTTAATTGCATGTAAAATATAACTGTTTAAAGCTGAACCAAGCAAACCAAACAAACCTGTGATGATGTTTCCATTCAATTCAAAGCTTCTTTTTGTATTCAAATCTTATCATTATACATTGGCAACACTAATTTATCCTGTATGATGATGTACAACTGGTAATTGATTGGCCTTAGCAATAAATTAAAAACCTGTGATTTGGTTTTGAATGTGTAAACCATTTTTATAAGCCCTTAATTATAATTCCATATAGATTTCATTCTCTGCCAAATTTATCTTTATTGTTCTGAGTAGCTTCTATTCAATTTTGTCAAGCAGCATTTAAATACCAGCCGAATAGTTCTAACATTAAATCCATGATAGTTGACATCGGGTAATTTCATCTTTATATTTTTTCCTGCCGACTAAAACCATACATCAATCTAGCTTCGTCCTCCTGACAAACGATATATCTTTCTGACGTTTGCAAAATTGATCTATTTTCATCTGTACATCTTTTATCTGTCATTCTTTTCTGATATTTTCCTTTTGTTTTCCAAATATCAAATTATTCATCAACTTGACAATGCAAATCTGTTTTGACTGCATTGTTAGTTTCGTTTCTTAGACTTTTACTGAGAGCCGTTTCTAATTTCAACTAATGCCTGCGGCTCAAACAAGACAAATAATTTGTATTTTATTCAATTTCAAATCCAATTCACACAAAGCTTTACGTTAAAGTAAGATATCATACATTGTTCTTTTAGTTTTGGTATAGTAGCACTCAGTAAATTATTTATTACCGTATATACTCGCGTATAAGACCATTTCTATAAGCCGACCCGTCAAACTAAATATGTATAAGCACTAAAAAGTGCATGACCAGCGTATAAGCTGACCCACAACTCCGATACATCACCAGATGTACGCGGTAAATTCTAAATATGTTTATTTAGGCAAACTTATATTTACAAATAGTACACGTATGCTTATCTCGGATTTAGCATGTATAAATAATTAAGAGAATTGGTATAAACTTGTTTGCATAGTAATTTATTTAATTTTCTGTTTTCCTATTGTTTCTGCCTAATTTAGATTTGTTTATAATTTGATCGAACGACAAGAAAAATTGAGCAATTGCGAGTTGCTGTAACATTCTTTCTTTTGACTCCATTAATGGTTTATTAGGAATTGTTGCATTGGGCATCTCAATCAGTGCACCAGTAATTACTTTCAAATTTTTCCTTGAAATAGTAAATACCAAAACCATTAAAATGTGATCCCAATATGACATAACAGCGAACAACAGTAAGGTTTTATTCAACTGTTGCAATTAGGCTACTGAACGTATTTCATAATGGCGTCACCACATATACATTGTAGGTTTGAACATGCACTTAATGAAATGCATAGCGCTGAATGAAGTACAGATCTTGGAGTCAAATCGTGGGTACCGCTGCACTAAGTTTTATTAATATCTCCAAAATACATTATTGAATTTGGGAAATATCCCTTCGAAAATTATACTAATACTGTAAAAGCTGAGCTGTAGTTTGCTTTGATATAAGCGACTTTACACCATAGCTTTCAACTCACGCCGGAAGAAAAATATTCCCGAATTTTGGGGTCACTCCACGACTACCTGCCGATCTTTGCAAAGTTCCCAATTATTACATTATGTCTTCGATTTTCAATTCTCCTAAAGAAAAGTCCTCCAGAGATATATTGTATGCAATCCATGTAAGTCATATATCACCTGTGAATATCATCGTAACGAAATAATTACTAGAAAGAACTCGCTTCTTCACTAAACAGGATGTTAAGTTTAAACATTATTCACGTAAGTTTGTGATTTGTTATAAACTACTACAATACAAAAATCAGAAATAGACCAGAAAAAAAAATTAACCAGAACAATAAAATTCTCAGCAAATAATTTAAATCCCAATTATGATCAATGTGAATGACGTAGCTCCATTCCCAACAAAGAAACACGAGTGAGCACCTGGCATTTTTATGTCGTATATAGGAACGTTAATTACCATCGCTAAATTCAAAGAAGGAATGAATATACAAAACTTACCGCATATGTGTCCTCAATAAACTAATTCACTAATATTTTATAGTAAATAATACTAAATTCCTTACGAGTTGACAATAAGGAATAAGGTCAGAAACACAATAAGAAGGAAATAGTTGTCCCATGTACGGTAATGTGACACCGCCTGCATAGATATATTTAGATCAACCAAACTGGTAATCCTTCATTTGCCTGTCAGTTGCTGGAGCTTGCGTAACAGTCGGTAGGGTAGAACTATGTTTTATTGAATGAGGAATGGCCAGTCGTTTACATAACATAATTGCATCGATTAGGATTAACTTTTAATAGGTCACGCTGGCTTTTTTTGCTTGTTTATTAAAAACTGACCTTCAGATATTGTGCTTGTTAGCCACATCTGACCCGATATGACACGTCCTGAGGGAAAAAAGGCACATCACTGAAAGAAATCGTGCGTCATTTAAGAATCAATATTTAGTGAAAAAAAGGCTTCAAAAATTTTATAAAAAACTCCTGATTTAGGTCCCAGTCTCTATTTTGTAGTCAGTCTCCCTTCTTGGCTTTTGAAAAGTTGACAGGTATGACTTACAAAGCTATAAAAATTATGCTAATATTATAGAATGAAAGGCAATTACACATCAAGGTACTGGTATAGCTGCCGATAAAAATTCTCTCTTAAAGCAAGCCAGTTTGGGGGTTTTGACGATTAAATAGCCTGTATTACTAACGGAAAAATAACAGACAAATCCACCAACTATCAACAAAGGAGATGCCGAATCATCAGCCTTTAAATTGTGTGCAAAGTTATAACGTTGTTTAGCCAAAACATAAAAATAACATCAATTGATCTATAATGAGAATTTTAGCATTTATTATTAACACTCTCCATGAACATATAAGATATGCTAGTTATGTGCCTTGTACAATTAAATTTGCGTACATTTTCATAAATATTACCTAAGTTTGTAGGAACCGCTTATATCACTGAAATTAGTGAGCG